AATGCACTTCATCTTTGAAGATACATTGACGCTCATTGCTTTGCAGCGTACGCAAGTTTGCTGTTGCTTCGTTACTAACGACATCAACGCGTAAACGAGACTCGAAGCCGATTGGTAATATAAGTGCTGTCTCTTTCATTTTTGTTGCTTCGATGGGGCTATGCATGACGATCTTAGGGTGGTGAGAGAGTTAGTAAAGAATAGTTGAAGTAAATTGCTCTATTGCTTTTACACTAACCTTAAATCCCGGTCCATTTGTGGTTGAACAATAGTAGTCTTCAAGCTCGGCATTTAATATCAAAGACAGACCCATTGACACACCCGTTCCGGCGGCTGCATATGGATAGTAATTTGGCGGCAAATGCTCGGGATAACCACTTTCAGGATTCCAATCGATTGCTTCAATATTGTCATTGCGTTTATACTTATTTATTAATTTTTTAGTGCTACAGTGGTAATAAAATAGAAGACACAAAGTTTTTTAATTTTTCTACTCGCATGTACTACATACTTTTATGTACATATGTACATTAGGATACATCACCAAAACAAGTTGCAGTTTTTCCACCGGAATTATAAAAAATAATAAATATTGCAGAACCTGTCTATATTTTTTTTTAAGAGCTCCGTCAAAATATTTCGGAAGTGATTAGTGATTTAGTTGAGGTTCACCTATTTGAAAATACCTTTAAATATCTCATTATTTTGATCCCGTTGATAAAATGTTCAAGCAATTTTATACAGACTTTTTAAGCTTATACTCTTTCTAATATCTGGGGTGATTTTTTAGAAAAAATAGTTTTCTTATTTATAAAAAAAACACTCGATTTTTTAGGTATTTTCAAATAGCTCCAGCTCACGTTAATCATAAAATGTAATAAGCTTTATATTTCCGATGGGAAGACAGTACCGATTTTTTTTTATGGAGTCATGTTCTCTAATGTACATATGTACAACTTGTTTAGTGTTCGAAAATAACTTACTTGCCGGTAAATAAAAAATCCGGATGTAGAACATTGAAGACGCAACAAAGACCCTCATCGGCTATAATTTCATGAAATAAATCTGAACAGTTTTTTACAGCTGAACCAATTGAGCAAGAGAGTAACATTCTTGAGCATGGTTGAGCGTGCTGGAGATGAAGAAAGAGGTTTTTGCAAACAATTAACAGATAGATAAATAATATTTATGAGACTGTAAACGGGAAAGAAAGTGTTGGGGAAAAGTTTAATGGGAGATATATTTTGAGTGTAGTACCTTCTTTAAAAAAGTTGTAAATGACAAATTATTATTTTTGAAATATGGATCCTCCACGAACTTTTCATCCAAAATAGTATCCGGATTACAAAGTAGTTTTAGCAGGACGGCCTCGTTAGATTCACTGAAAGATAAATTATTATTTTTTTTTTTGTTTATCAGATTTAGAGACATTAACCGGGCAATTCTGGCTAAGATAGTAACAAACCTTTCGTAAGACAAATGAGAGACAGTTGGCATGATAGTTCTAAAGACTTTTGTTATTCTAGCACAAAAGTCTTAGCGAAAAAGCTCTCTTATTCACCACACGTTGTGAAAAGCTATTTTGAGAGAAAGCATTTGTACTATATATCATTTAGTTCGTGTCGCTCCAACAGTCCCAAAGGCCGAGTGAGGAAAGCACATGCGACCCATTCGAGAGATCCGAGGTCGAGGCCTCGGGCAACGTAATTTTTTTTACTTTTTTTATTTTAATTTTTTTTTATTTTGTTAATTTTTATTTAATTTTAGATATTATTGTTTTAAGAAAAACTTAATTTCATTTAATTTTTAGAACCTTAATTTATGAATTTATATTCTTAATTTAACTTAATTATTTTAATCGATTTTTCTTTTAATATTTTACATTTTTAATTATTTTTTTATTTCTTTATTTAATTTTCTATTGATTAATTAATTAATTTGAATTAAAAATTTAATTAATTCAATTCTTAGAAACTCTTTTTATTTATTCTTACTTTTAATTGAATTTGTTTTCTTTTGTTATATTCATTTTCTTTTAATTTTTATATTTTACTGTTTTCAAGAGAAATTGTTTTAAAGAAATTTAATTTTTATCTTATTTTTCTATTTTTGTCTTTTTTAATATAAATTTCTTTTAAGTTTTATATTTTGTTTTAAAATTAGAAATATTTTTTTAATCAGTTTGATTTTTAATTACATTCCATTTTCCTTTTCTGATTTAATTTTTTTCAATTTATGACGTTTTCGTTTCTAAAAAAATGTTGCCGTCTCATCGCCCTCTTCTTAGTGTTTGTGCGTAGAGGGCTAAGGGAAGGTTGCACTTTTCGGTAGAAACGAAATCGGCATTAATTTTCTTTAGAGAATTTTCTTTTCTTAGAGTTTATTGTTTTAAAACGAAAAATATATTATTTTTAACCTAATTTTTAAATTTTTAAAAAATATTTTTATTTATTTTTGCTTTATTTTCATGTTACTTATTTTTTTATATACAATTTTTTTTTATTTATAAGTTTTTATTGTTTGAAAAAGATCTTTTAGCATATCTTTCAATTAGTGTTTCGGCAGTAAATAGCTTTCAAGATCGTTGCCAGAATTGACTATTGTCTTACGAACTACTTTTGTATTTCAAAAGACTGTGTGGTGAGTTGAAAGACAGTTACCAGAATTACCCTGTTAGTAGCTCATAGAGTTTGAACTGAAACTAATATGGTCATAAATATCATCAAAACAAGGAAATATTAAGCTATGTACATATGCATAGAGTTATCATTCCGAAATCTTTTACTTACGATGTATAATTCGCTACACGACTTGCCAACACTTGATTCATATTACAAACGGTAATAGCAGGAAATGGTGTATTGAGTATGGAAGTGGGATGCGGACTTATGCCAATAATAACTGGTGTGCTATCCCATTTGGCGTAGACATTCGCTATCAAGTTGACTGTGGCTATGATGGCCGCTAGAAAAGCACAGAGAAAAAATGACCTGCCAAGGTGGAAGACAAGCATTACAATTAAGTTCAGTTGGATGGTATACTTGCCGCAATAAACTTACTTTTCCCATATGGTAATGCTGTCGTCAGCCAAATATTTCAGACCGTGCAAAGTCGACTCCCTTAGAAACTGTTTTACATTGCCACTGCAATAGGATTTAAAGATTTTCTTGGTTCCTTTAGTATTTTTCATTAGTTAGATAAGTAGAACTGCGCGCGCGATGAATTATGACAGGAAAGTGTATACATTTAACCCCAATACAGTTGTATAAATACTCACAAGTATGCTATGTATGCGGTGTGGGAAATTAATTAGGTATCTAAGGGGATGATCCAAAAGTAATTAGCACAGCATAACGAATTCGTTTTTGACCTGCGATAAGCGATTTTTAATTACATAATTCGTTCAAGCACGTAGAAGTAAACGCAATGCTATAGTTATTTTTCTGCTTAAACAATTTCTTGTTCTACTAATTGATTAAAATAGATAGCAACAACATAAAATTTTTTTCGTTCTTCTTGTCATGACTAAATCAGAGCCACAATGTTATTGTTGAGAAGCCAAAGCAGAAAATTATATTTTGGTGGCATTAGCAATTGTTTAAGTGCTATTCCGTTTTTTATAAATATATTTTTTATTTAATATTTTATCGATAGTTTAATAATTTATTTTTGAGCTATAGGCCGTATGTTAAATAAAATATTAAATGTTTTTCTGCTTTATTTACTTTTTAGTTTTATTTTGGTCGACCGGACAAAGCTAATAGTTCCTGAAGATGCCTTCAGACTGAAGGCGAAATTTCAACCAAAATAAAACTAAAAAGTAAATAAAGCAGAAAAACATTTAATATTTTATTTAACATACGGCCTATAGCTCAAAAATAAATTATTAAATTATACTAAACGGCCAATAAGCAACACAATCATTTTATCGATAGTTTATATTTTTTCTGTCGATAGTTTATCGATTTTCCTATTGATAATTTTTCAATTGTTATAGTTTTTCGCTGCTGCTATCGATGTATTAATCGATTTAGTTATCCCTATTTCATTGGCTTACATATCGCACACTGTCTTCAAAAGAGTCACAACTCTAAACAATACAGAAAATGCGAAAAACTATTTCTTAGCACATGATAATCATATGGGCAAGGGCGACTTTACCTTAGGGTTTTTTTTAACAAATTATAACAAGAACTTTTTTCACAAAACGCATGTTCGCATTTTTTATATGGGAAAAATGGCGAAAGAGTGTCAGTATACAAATTGTCAAAAATCAACGGTAATTTGTAGCTACTTTAAACTTTTCCTTAATTATACCAAAAATTGAATTAATTCGGTAAAAAACAACGAAATAAGTATTGTGCCTACTCCAGCGTGTGTTAGTGTATATTTAGATAGTACGGTATGCTTAACGGGGTTGGGCAAGTTTCACTAGGCAACTTGAACTCATCCGTCTTGCAATAAATGAGAGATGTCCGATGACGACACATCTGGGCGGGGAGTAGATAGATGACAACATTTAAGGCCTGCCTGGAAAACGTCTGGTTCAGAAGAGGGCATGCATGCTGCCGAACCAGGCCTTCAACATCCTAGATATGTGTGATGTAGAAACATAGACGACGCTGTTCTGACGTTTTTAAAACGCAAAACGTAGCAGCCGTGGCATATTACAGTTTTGTGATCGCAGCCACAACATTACTTGAAACCAGTCGCTCGTTCCTGCCGACCAAATTGGCGCTGCGTAGTTTGCCACTGACCGCCCGATTGTCTTGTAGGTTGCGAGCAAGGTTTCTTTGTCGGCTCCCCAGGTGGTGCCGGCTAGCGACTTGGGAACTTTGTTCCTGGAATGCACTTTGTGCCAGGTGGCTGAGGCGTACACGGAGAAGGAGAAGCGACTATCAAACCTCACTCCCAGGATTTTGGGGTGATTGGTTTTCGGTATTCTGGCGCCATCGACGAAGACATCTAGTTCGAGCCTGATCTTCTTGGTCCATATTGTGAAGGCAGATTTCACGGCGGAAATTTTGAGATTCCTTACAGAGAAGAAGCTCAACATTTCAGTGAGATCACCGGTTATGATATCGCAAGAGCAATTGACTTTTGGGACCGTGGTCGGTGCTTATGTGGAGATTAAACAGCGTCCGGGAGATTACGCCACCTTGAGGAACTCCCTGTTTAATTCTACGCGGCGGTACGAAATTCGGTTGATCACACAGATAGCTGGTTATCCACCGAGCCGAAAGCCTTAAATACTTGGCGTTGTTGACAGCCACCTGTGTCTCTTCTGAGGTAAAGCACGTAGAGGTTTCTCGGGGGCGGTGTTCGGGTGCCTTACGCAGGATAGTGCGGCGGGTTTTGTCTCTATCTGGGTGAGCAATGAATTGCCGGCTGAAGAAGCGCACCCACGACTATGGATCCGACATTGTGGTGGTGCCAAAAGTAAGGACACGCTTCGTCGAATTGGAGAGAAACTTGACTGTGGTCCACAATTTGCTTGCTCCGCTTGAGAGACTGCAGGTCTTGAGAGTCCCGCCACTTCTGTGGGGTAGTCTGAGCAGATTTTGGCAATACTGCCAGCTGGCATGAAGCAGGCGGCTATTGCGTTGATGATCCTGCGGATATTGCGCTTAGCTACGCTTGGATCCCGAAAAGTTACCGATGAGTGTCGACCACTCAGATAATAACATATATTTCTTAAACACATTATAACTTTTAATCATATGTAGTGTATATTTATTCAGTGCTCAACATTAATATTTCACTTAGGGACTCGTAATTATATATATATAAAATAAAGTAGTTAATATCATAAGTTCCTCTTAGTGTTTAGGAATGCCAAAAATCAATAGGCAATAAATTTATATCGTCTCGTTGAGCATCAGTTAAGTCTCTCCAAAGATTTTCAAACAAATGGATCACCCATATTAGTACTAACTCTGTTTATATTCTATGAAGACCACTCACTCTGGATATATGACACGTTTATTTATTTCAGAGTAGAAATCATAAATCAAAAGACCAAAAACGTTGAGTATTTTGTGTAGGGAGTAAATGGAAAACGTAACTAAAATCGCAAAAGGTGCAAATTTTTTTTTCTGAGCTATTAAATTATGTTAGAAATATACTTTAGAGTTAATGGTTTTTCAATATTTTGAGTTTAGGAAAACTCTCCAACTTTGCCATAAATTTACTTGTTTACTTGAAGCAACGCGTAGCGTACGTTTTCACAGATAAAATATATAATAATTTAGTTTCAAATATTTGTGGGTATATGTATTTAAAAAAAAGAGTATATCTAATATTTGAATTTGGAAAAATATGAACTTATCTTCTTCTTCTGGCACCTACACTTTAACTTTGCGTATAACAGATTTGCCTTCATCATTACGAAATACGCGGTGATAAATATTTATTTTGCCCAGAGTAGAGATAAAATCATCGTCATGCGTAATAATGATCAACATGAAATTCGACTGCATACGCCTTTCGTCTACTATACGATTCAATGCTTCACACAGCGAAAGTATATTATTACGATCCAAGTTGGTGGTCGGCTCATCCAAAGCTAATACACCACAATTACTGCTGAACGTTTCCGCCAATGCCATGCGTATAATTAATGAGGCAAGCACACGCTGACCAGCACTACAGCGGCCACGCATTTCAATTTCCGAGCTATTTTTCGATTGTACAACACGATAATTATAGTTGCGCCGACGATCGGCATTCGCATTCAAATCAACTTCATCAGTTTGTATTTGTATGTAGTCAATGTCGTTACCACGGTAGATAAGACGCCAATACTCACGTATGAGACGATTAATGCGTTCCATTTTTTCGGCATGAAACTTCATTAATGACCATTCCAAGCTGACTCTACTCTCGCCAAGATCCTTTATTAACTGACGTGAGGTGCCCACTTCGTAGAAAGCACGACGATAGTTTTCAAGTGAGTCCTTGAATTTTGGCTCATTTATCTCGCTCTCTAACTTTTTAACTTGGTTTCTAACCTCGCCAATTTTGCCAAGCAGCTCTCCCTTGCGAACAGTACCTGCAATGATTAAGTTTATTTTTTGTTATATACATATGTATATACGCGTTACGTTGAGGAAAAAAGTTGTGTACCCTTTTCACGTTGCTTTATCAACGTATTCTTTTCCTGTGACAGTTTAGGGAAATCCATTTTTCCCAATTGCTTGGCTAAAGCTTCAACCCTCACATCAATACCGATCTTTTTCTCTTGTAATAATTTCAATTCGCGGTTATCCTTCAAGTCGCGTTCCAGAGTTTCCTGCTGCGAACATTCCGTTTTAATCGCCTCGAGCTCATTAGATGTTTTGGAAATCTCTTCAGCCTATTTGACGAAGAAAATCTTATACAATTAAAGCCAACTTAAAAATTAGTCGATGATAAGAAGTTCGGAAAAAAAGTAGAAGTAGTAGTAGTAGTAGTAAAGTAAAATTTCAAAATATTTTTTATAACTCAGTAAAAGTTTCGAGATTTTCGGGGCTTTATCCATAATTTGGAATGCTTAATTTCATGTGCATAGGGAGTCGCTCTAAAGCTTAAAGCCGACTTTTTCTACATTTTAGTTTCGCAAGTAAATGGGTATTACTAGTTGTAAATATAGTGCTTATATGGTTACTTGGAAAATATACTGGTTTTTCGAAGGCTACTTACCTTTGCTTCTACCTCTGCTTTGCACGTTTTAATCGATTCTTTCAAATCAGCGATTTCGCAGCTTAAGTTTAGCAATTGAAAGTCAATCACTTCGTTATTTAATCTATGAAAAATTTTTAATTCAATTAAAAAGTAGGAAGTAAGAATGTAAGGTATTTTCATAAAAAAGTTAAAAGGTGGCATTTTTGTGAATTTAGTGTTATTAATGTTATTCGTCGATAATTACAGAATGTGTAAAAATCTGTTAAAATTCCAAAATGCGAAAAATTAAAAAACCAAAACTATTCATTTTAGCGGTAATAGCTCGCTTGTAAAATAACGCTACGTATCCAAAATCCAAATACTTTAAACCATTTTTAGAATTGCTTGTTTTTAATTCAATCACCTCTGAATATCATGATCCATTTTTTTATAAGAATTTAATTCGGTTTGCATTTTGGCCACCCGCTTACGCGATGCTTCCAAAAGGCGGTTCTTCTCGACACTCAATGCATTTAACTTTTGCTTCAAGGTAGGCAGTTTAGTTTTTAACTGCTTAATTTCTGTAATATTGCTTTCAATTAAATTTTTCAACTCAGCCTGACGCTCTTGCAGTTGTGTCAATGATTGCTGCCCTTCTTGCAATTTTATACGCTCGTCTTGATAACTGAATAATATACAAAAATTAAAAAGAAAATTTAGAATATCTGCCTATTTTAAAGAGTGCTTTTGTGCTTACGCATTTTTCTGCTCCTGCATCTTGTTCAAGGCATTCACAATCTTCTCAAGATTCGTCTGCTTCTCCTCCAGTGTATGACGCTCTGCATCAAGTTCCTCCGATATGCTAGACTTGATCATTTGCAGATCATCTAAGTTAGCATCCGACTCAAAATCTGCCGGTAGCTTGGCCTAGGAGTCATTTAAAACTTATTATTATACTCAAATTTAATGCGTTGTAAAGCGGAAAAATTGATGAAACTTTTATGAATGTTTTCAGTTTTTAACAAAGTTTACATGGGTTTTTTTAGGGAATGCACTGTATTTTTATTAAAAAATCTTAAAAATTTATAAGTAGACTTAAGTGGCAAACAGCATCATAATATATTTGGTCCGAATTGATATACCGACACTGTGCGCATGTGCATATGTATGTGTGTATATATGTATGTATATTTTTAAATTTTTGATTTCAATTTTATATTACTAGAACTTATGTTCTTTTACTCACATTCAACTGTACTATATCATTCTTTAGACGCGTGACTTCCTTCATTGCCTCATCCAGCAGCGAAACATCACCCATCATTGAATCAGCCAACTCCAGCGAGGTAGTCGGCTCGGCCAGCAGCATTTGTAGTGATTCACTATCTTCAACACACTTGGCTAATTTTTCCTCGAAGCTTGCGAGTTCTTTCTTTTTTTTGGGAATATCTACTTCTAGTTTTGCAACTGTTTCTACTACCGATTTTATTTGCAACAAATTTTCATATTTCTTTTGTTCTGCTTTCAATAACTTTTCAGTGCGTTTTATGTTCTCTGGCAAGCGATTTATCTCATCCGATAGTTCCATTGTGATATCAGTAGCCTTTCAATTAACAGAAATATTAAAAGAGTGTGTCTATATAAGTATGTAAATTACTATACGTACTTCATTACTGGTCATATCCTTATGACATAGCGGACAACATGGATCTTCCGCGACTTTCTCTATATATCTGCGAAATGCAATAAATATCAATTTATAAGAGTTAGAAATAGTTACACTTCACATACCTTTTATACATGGCCTCCGCTGATAGTAATGCGCCGTGCTCCAATTGATATTTCAACATGGTGGCCTTACTTTTGGCCAGCGTATCTTCATATGATGCCGCATGACATGCCTCGTAAACTTTTTCCTTTGCCTCCTCTAATTCCTTTTCGAGCTTAAGCAGCTCGGTTTTCAAACTCTTCCGTTTTATCTCGAACGACTGTTGCTCTAGTTGCAATTTGTTTGACTTTGCATTCAGTTCTTTGATGTTGTCGCGCAACTTCTCGCCACATAGTTGCATTGCGCGTCTATAGTTAGACTCGACGGGCCTATTAAGCAGTTTCTTAAAATTATCTGCGTGTTTACCTTTTACACGCCGTACATCCTGTTCTTTCTTTTCTAACTCCTTTTGCTTTAATGAGATTTCGGCCATTAATTTGGACATCATATTCAATTTAGTTAGCCGCTCATCTAATTCACGAAATTGATCCTGTAGCTTTACAATTCTGGCTTTATTTTCAGCTATGTCAGTTCTCATTGTTTCCTGATTACATTTTCCATTCATTTCATCCATCATTTTCATCAGGCGGTCTATATTGTCCGATAGTATTTTAATGCGCCGCGCAGAAGTTTCTATTTCAGCAATCTCTTTCGTGATTGCTTCTAATTCCTTTTCATTTAACTTTTTTTGTTTTTCATGCGCCACGATTCCCTCTTCGACTTTAGTAAGTTCAACGCGTTGTGCATCTATTTCTGATTGCCGCTCACGATCTTCTTGATCCGTTTGTGCAACGGTCCCAGCAATATCACACTCCTTATTGACCAATGAGTTTTCTACTTTTTCTAATACACCTGGTACACTTTCAGGCTGAAATTCTAGATCATCGGTGAGTGTGATCCCTAAGTGTTGACAGAGCGTTTTTAACTGCTCAGCGCGCTTGGAAATACATTCTTGTTCCTTTTGACGCTGCTGCATCAGCAGAATGCGTTTCTTATCCAAATCAGTATATCTCTTTTGCAGCGTTTTTTCTTCTACCTTCAAATTGTTTACCTTTTTATCTAGAACATTGCGTCGTTGACGTTTTTCAAGCATTTTCTGAGCGAAATCAGAAATTTCCTGCTCTAATTCTTCTCGACTACCCTCAAATGGCACTTTTATATTGCTACTCAAACCCAATATCTGTTCCTGACAGTTCTTTTGTCTAAGTTGAATTGCAAGGGAAAGTTTATCGGTAATTCTTATTAAATCTTGATATTTTGCTACTTACTCAGTTTCCACTTCTACTTTTTGCGCCTGATACTTGCCCACCTCATACTCAACATTGCGAATTTCTAATAAACGAGTATCGATTGGCTTCATTTCTTCCTCGCAACGCTCACACTCTTTTTCTATAGCAGCGCACTTCTCTTGTGCCTTTTTTAGAGTCAGTGACTTATCATCCATTTCTTGCTTCAAGTGCGCAAGAAGGCGTAAGTCTGCCTCTGTAAGATATTTCACAATTTTAAAGACTTCTAACTCTAATAAAGGTGCTCAAGAGGGCAGATGATTGCTTTTATTATATACTAATAAGCATACATTAATAAATTTATAAAAGTAGGTACCTTTAACTTTTAAATTATCAGCTTCCTCTTTACGCATTTTTATGATCCTTTCGATTGTTTTGTTGAACTCTGTTATACCAAAAATAGCATCGAACTTCTCTTTTAATTTTTTCGACTCATCCAACGGCCAACTTGAATCCTCTTGATGACAGAATAACACATTGTTAATAATAGCTTTGGATACACCTAAAAATAAATACATTCGTTACTTTTATTTGGATTTGCAAAGCTGTGTATTTCCTGACTAACCCATAAATTGACACATAGCCACATCGACATCAACACAACGCTTGCTAATGGAATTCGTGGAACCTTTGCCATCGCCTTTGCCTTCTATATAGTTCATAGTGGCATCTAACGTTTCAAATGAATACTTGCCCCTTTTGTTAGATATCTTCATCGAACGACAAACCGATATACGTTTTCCTTGGAGGTTGCTAACCTCCAATTTAACTTGACCCAATGTGCCGGCTTGATGGAATATTTTTGGATCATGTACAAAGCTTCGACCACGATCACTGCCAGGCGGTACTTCTCCAGTAAGACCATATTTGAGGCACTCAATTACAGTTGTCTTGCCGCAACCATTCTCTCCCAAGAGCAACGTGACCGGCGAGGCAAATGTTATCGTCTTTCAAATATATAAATGACGATTGGATAAAACATACATACTACATTTGAGAATAGCTTATTCGACTTTCCGGACAAAGAGGCCAATACATGTCTGGGAAGCCCCCTACAGTAGCTTAATTTCAAAACGCTTAACATAAAATTGGACTTACCTGAACATCCTCCGAATTCGAACCAAAACTACGAATACCCTGAATAGACAATTTATCAATAGTGGACATTTTTAATAATACGCGCAAAATTTCACAACCATTTAAAAACAAGACGCCGAGAAATGACAAAAATTGCGATGTTTTGCCGGGCATACATCACAAAGGTGACCAGATGTTGATTTTAATCAAATTTTTCTAGTGCAAAGAGTGCTACGTAATTTTATACCTCTAATTATGTACAGTGAATCCCGCGAAGAAAATGCATTTTCCGATTTAAATTTTACTAATAAAGGTGTTCTTACACGATATGTATCTGCATGTGTACATGTCATTTTTTACATATGTATGGAAATGCCAACATATCGGCTGCATTTCTTTATTCTTGGAATAAACTTTTTTGTTTATTTATTCTTTAGAACGTTCCTGATGATATGTTGACGTATATTTCAAACGCATTCTGTTTATTCCGGCTGTGAAATGGGATTATCCGGAATGTACAAAGAAACGCAGCCATCGTGTAAAGGCAAATTGGATTTTCTTCTGCACAAAGCAGATGCACGTACATACGAAATAGAAATGTTTCTATTTTCATCTGACGCACAGATAAAATCATCTGAGTTTAGTTTATTTCGTTGTCAAAGAACGTATTTTTTAATAATTAAATAAAGACTGTGAATTAGACAGACATATGCAATTACATATGTATTGAAAAAGATGCAAATACATATCGTGTAATAACACCTTAAATTTTTCTATTGCATTTTCAAATGATTGCATCGAATAATTACATTTTTCATAATTTTTGATTCTGGTTACTCTCGAAGTGTCAAGAAGTTTATTGTGAACTAGAGACGGGCACGGGACTAAAAATGTAATCCCGAACCCGTTCATCTCGAAACTCAATTTTTAAGTACCGAACCCGGTAATCCGACGTTTTCTCTACAGCAAGCTACAAACGGAAAACAAATTTGAAATTTTAACGTGTGTGGCGTGGTTTGCAAGCCGATCGAAGGTTGACAAAAATGTTCATGTCTTTCAAATTTATTTTAAATAATAAAAATATTAATGAAAGATCTGGTATCTTCGATTATTTTGTTTTGCTTAAAAAAAGTGCATATTTCAAACATCGTTAAGGAAGATTTTGGGAATTTTCGGGGTTTGCGGTTTTATCGGGAGTGTCGGGAAAGGATTTTGGTCCCGTCCCGCCTGCCAATTTTACAGATCTTCCCGATACCGACCATCCCGGCCAATTTTAAATCAGTACCGCGGGTCCCCCTATTCCGCGACAATCTCTATTGTGAACGACTAATCGAAAAGGTGTATTCCCACACAGGCTCCTTGAGCTGAAAATGTAATAAAAAAATTTCGTGTTTTTTTTTAAAATTTGTAGTTAAATGCAAATTAGCCGTATACTTTAAAGAATTGTTTTTATATGACCAAGGTATGGACGGCCATATGCACACTTTTTTACATATGTATGTATATATATCCGGTTGGTTTATCCATTTCATGGTTTCCGGTTCTTGAAAATGCCAAAGCGGGGATTGAAAGAATAAAAAATGCCGTTGGCGCTTAACACTTTGCAAAGTTCTTTCCCCGAGCTTCACTTTGGGCTTTGGTTTGGTTAGACAAAGTTTTTCTTGGCAGAAGTATATCCGGAGGTTTGCCTTTACACATTGCTGGAACCAGTAATCGAACACACTGGGTACCATGATAACATACATAACAAGGTAAAACCATTGAGAGGCAGTTTGACGTTTGCCAGCATTATTTAAACCATTTGCCAGCATAATTTTAAACTCAATCTCACACACACATTCTCATTTTCAATCTCAAACAACAACAATTGGTGAACAACTTAATTTTTTTATTTTAATTTTTATATGATTTTAAAATGCTTGCAAACGTCAGAAAAAAATCAGAATTTACCTTGTAATGTTTTTATCATGCTGGGTACTACTGGGTGGAAGTACGCCCAGCTTACACTCGGCAACGGTCTTTCATCGCCAATCGTGTCTTGGAAAATCAAACTTGTATGATTTATATTATATGTATATTTATAGATTTATTTTCAATTTTAATTCAACGATTATTCGTACATGAGAGTATCATTATAAATACTAATTTAACTTGAAATTTGTGTTTCTTTTTATTTAAATCAATTATTTATTTTTATTTCTTTACAGAGGCATTATACGTATGTATATATTTATGTTTTTATGTATGTATGTATTTGTGTGTATCAATATAACCGTAGCGTTATAACAATTTGACGCACTCAGAAAATCTAGGTTACATATTTATATATGTATGCACATATGTACATACAAACAATAAGTCGTTCATACATATGTATATCCTTGCCAAATCTTTTTAACTTTAATAAAATCCATAGTTTAGGATTTTTTTATAAACGAACAAAAAGCACATTCGCTTAAATAAATGTAACAAATTTCTACGTTAAATATATTATTTCAAAATATTACAATAATTATAAAAAAAGTATATTTTTAGTTGAACTGCGTCAAGGCTTAAGCGATATGGTTGCGTCCGCAAATATCGTAGTTTAGTGCAATTTTTTAAGTAGGTTTTAAAATTTATCTGCCCTTCAAAAATATTTTTTCAGAACAAAATGTGTGTTTAAAGGACATATAAGTTTATAAATCTACTTGATTGATGTTAGCACATTTTAGCTTAACATATCGCTTTTAAACAAACGCAGAACCGCCAAGTCTCCAAATATAATATGAATAAGAAAATCGTTTATGTATATGATATTGATATAAATAATTCTCTTTTAGAGCTTCATAAAATACGTATTATTGTGTATATTTTTCAGCATGGTCACATATTAAGATTATTAAAAAGAAAATAGGCAAGAGTTCTTTGAATCCTCGGAAGTGAAAATAAATGAAATAAGTACGTAAAACAAACTGAAGATCATTTGGAAAAAAAAAAATTATAAGTCTGAAAGTCACGGTACATATGCATAAAATTCTAGGTACACGCAAAACGTTTTATCCATATATAGGATGTGTATGTATTAATGGATTTATGTATGTTTAATGTATCGTATATAATAATATGTATAACTACGCCTATATAACGCAACCAGTACAATAGTTAACAAATTAAACATTTGCCAGCTCTAAGGGTAAACAAATGTCGGTTTGCATATACGTACATATGTATGGATGTATATGCAAGTGCATGATTACATAGGAAATATGGAAAACGTTCAACATAAAATAACCACTGGAACTCCATTTATGGCAATATGTTTCCATTATTTTTTTACAAATTGATACGGCGGCAATGAAGAACGATATCGTAAATTATTAACATTATTGGATGGTACGCCGCTATTCATAACCGATCCGCGCCCATTATAATTTGATGCATTGGGCATCAATCCCGATGGCGAAGCGTTCACCATGGCTTGTGGTGGCATTGTTGAGTGCATTAAATTGGAGCGTTGGACAGCTAGAAGAAATTGAAAAGTATATGTCATGATACAAAAATTCATGGTATCATGGTATATGTATATATCATATAAATACTTGAAAGAGATTTTCATAAAAAAACAAGAAGATTATTATCACCTGGCACATAAGGTTTAGGCTGATGGTAAGTGTTGTTATGCGAACGATAATAAACAGTCTCATCATTGTAGTGGTAGTTATGAGATTGTTGCTGGTATTTAGGCCTAGAAAAATTATATAGTTAAAGCCTTGATATCTTATAAAATGCGCGATTGCTTTAAACATTACACAATTTTGAATTTGATATTGACTAATACCTGTACACGCCACTTCCTCCAGTTGAACCACCGGGACGATGGCTCGAGTTATTGTTATTGCCACCAACAGAATGAGCATTATTTTGCTGTTGTTGTTGCTGCTGTTGCTGTTGGCGTATAGTGATTTTTTTAGCAGCTTCAGGATCCTCCATTAGTTCACGAAACTGCTCCTGTCGGATATCATCGTGTTTGTCTGGTATCAAATATCGTCGAATTTCTGCTAAAGCATAGGCAATGCGTGCATACGCTTCAGCCGGTGGGGCAACGGTTGATACTTCCACATGTAGCGGCAAATTAAGATGGGCATATTTGGCATCAGCAGAGTTTCGCAACTCCTCTTCACGGACCCTATCTTTCATTGAGAAACGACCGAGTATGACAATCTTGCATTGCGTCTCCTCTTGAAGGCGACGCAGTGAATTTCCCTTTGGTCCAAGAAGCTTTCCAACATAATTAAACTGCAGTATAGAAAAATTATATTATAGTATACGAATTTGTTATATTAATAAAAAAAAGCATGCATATCGACAAACCTTTTTATCCTTTATTGGAACGTGCACCTTTTGTGACAGTCTAATAGTTCTTTGTTGATAAACATCAGCGTATTGTTCGCGCGTGGGTATCCGACCATTTAGTTGAATACGTTCCAGGGCTAGGAGTCAAGTTTTTGTTTATTATAATTAAAACACTTAAAATTTATCTAAGCTTACCTTCATCAATCAATTTTACAGCTAGAGGAAAATGAGTCTCCATTCGTGCTCGCTCAGCGAGCAATTCTTGCATGTACTTTTGGGCAGTTTCATTTAGCCTTGGCGTGCTCTTAATATTTTCCTGACCTAGCTCGTGTTCATGATTTCCATTGCTATAGTCGCCTACCTCAGCACCGCCGGGACCTACAACACGCATACCATTTTCCGCCATATCGCTGCTGCCAATCGCTTAAAATATTTCCAGAATAAATCTTAACACAGTTACTTTACCCTACATAAATTGTGGCTTTTAATAATTATGTTCACTAGTTTTATGGTAATTTAAAAAATTAGACAACGGCATATATGCTGCTGGGCAGACTAAATACCTGTCAAGTCTTTGATTAATTTTCCTCCCCTTGAAACTGCGAAATATTTTGACACTTTTTACAATCATTCGCCGCAAAACCGAAAATGCAACCGCAAGAGTGCATTCGGAAATGCAAATGTACCGGATCAGATTCCTTGAGATAACAGCAAAAAAAAAACTTAGATATAGAAATTGAGAATATTTTTATGTTAAATATGACAAATAGACTTGGGACAATCACAATTAAATAAATAGAAACAGATATTCATATAAATTATATGAGAAACAGAATTAATAATTTTATTATAAGTTTATTTTTTTTTTAACACCACTGTAGAAATCAGGTATGCATTTGTAAATTTCTTAACTTGGCCACACTTTCTAGTCTCCATCTTTTTTCGCATGGAAAAAAATCTAAGCTTGTGAAAATTTGTCGGCAGTGAAAAAGAGCACAAAGTTTTTAATCTAAATTATTAAATTTTTGCAAAAAAAGCCATAAATATGCCGAGAGATTATGATCGTGATTACAATGAAGATACCAGTGATTACAAGAGAAAAAGGCGTACTGACGACGAAGCCGGTGGTGGAAGTAATACGGGCGGTGGCGGTGATATGGATGGGCATGGACGCGGGCAAGACCATGGTCAGCCAATGCAATCCCATGACGCACCCCCTTTGAATGAAAAAACCAATGCTTACCTTGAACAGTGTGAGCAGGAGAAAAAGACGCTAGCAAAGGACCATACAGTATGTAAGCGTTTAATAGACGACGGTAAGTACTTTTGTTGGTATATGTGCTTGTTTGTGTATGTGAAAACTGGCGGTTCTGCATAATTGCATGTACACTAATAAATTTTTTATTTCAGAAATTGAAAAAATTTTGGTTAGTGGGCGAATTCCAAAGCCAGAAATCTATGCAAACGTCTACAGTGAAAAACCAATACGTGTTGCGCAAAAAGTTTTATTCCCGATTAAGGAATATCCGAAATTCAATTTCGTTGGAAAGATATTAGGGCCGAAAGGAAATACATTACGTCAATTGCAAGAAGAAACTTTTTGCAAAATGGTGGTTATGGGCCGTAATTCTATGCGAGATCATGCTAAGGAAGAGGAATTGCGCAGCTCTGGCAATCCAAAATATGCCCATCTTAGCCGGGATTTGCATGTTGAAATATCTACAGTAGCGCCGCCATCGGAAGCATACCATCGTTTGGCTTATGCATTGGCAGAGATACGAAAATTCATGATACCAGATGCCAACGATGACATTCGCATGGAACAAATGCGTGAAATGGATGGCAAAGAGCGTATGTACAAAAAAACTCATTACTCGAAGTCTTACGGTGAGCACGCGGTATATAGCTGTCGGTGAGTTTATGTAAAAATCTTGATTTCTAATTCTTTCTTAAATGCGATTGCTCATTCATTTAAATGAATTCGATGTAGTAGGAGAAACATCATTTAACACACGTAAATACATGCACATGTATTATTATTATTATGTATATCATTCTTCCATATGTCCGAGTTGGACAATGTTTATATTTATGTAATGATGATATCTTTCAGTACTCCTCCACCGCCAACATTTGAAAAATCATCCAAACCGAAGGTTTATTCTATTTTAGAGAAAGCTCGTTATGTTATGGACGATCCTGGATATGGTCTTGTAAAGTCGCATAGGTAAGAAGCAATTTATTCTGTTATTAAATAGCGTATGTTATAGAAGATGTTATAGTATTATGAAACATGTAACTAATTTTTCTTTATATACAAAAATATGTATCTGTTTAACTTGAAGTAGTAAAGTGTTTCAAAAGTGGACCGAATAGAAATACTTATTTCGATCTTTCTCTTTATATCAGATCTCGTGATCACGAGTTGTATGAACATCATGGTGAATATGATCGCTATACGCCTCCACCGCCAACAAAACATTCAAGCACACATCACGCACCTTACGAAAGTGGTTCGTACGAGCGCGATTACCGCCGTGAATATCATCCGCATTCATCGTCGTACACCGCTGCATATGCAGGTAAGCTTAAAACTTAAATAAAAACACTTTAACTCTTTAGATCAAACTTTATAATGAGAGGTGTGATGGAACAAAAAGGAGTTAACATCCATATGTATATTATATTGCATTTCACGTGATAATTAGTAGTGAACTGCGTTAATTCACCTATAAACGCGGAATGTACTTAGTAAAAAATGTCGTAGCTAATTCGCATAATCAAGCCGTAGTCTTATTACCAAACATAAACTCCGTAAATTAAAAGAGGAAGAAAAAGCAAAAGAAAAAAACGAATTTAAATAAAGTGCAATCAAGATAACTCCAGACAAAGCAAAATGTGGAACTTTTTATAAACAAATAAATTTATAAAAACACGATAAATGCGCCAAAAAGACTGTAAAGGCAAATTTTTAGCAACTTAACATTTAATAATAATAAAAAAAAACCTAAAAATCGTTTTAAATCTTGAAAATACATATATACTTTCCATTAATCTTTACTATACAATATAAGGTAATAAAAAAAAATCGCAAATGTATATAAAAATCATTCGAATAAAACCGTTTGTTCCAAATTCCAAGGTCAAAAGTTATTTAAATTCGTTATACATTTAAGAAAAATCCCTAAAAAACCAAAACAAACAAACCAAAGTTGCAGTTTGAAAACAAAATATAGCTTAATAAAACTCATTCAACCAAAATTAAAAACAGATATTTAAAATGCCCAAAATATATAGATATAACGAAAAAATACAAAATTCTCTCCAAATTAGCTAAACCAAGCAACGGTCGCTCTTCATCTTCATACCGACCTACAACATCGGGATCGCACTCTTCCTCACACTACGAAGCAGGATCACGATCACGGGAAAGCGTAAGATATCGTTCGGCACCTTATCCGAAATTGCGTTAAAAATGTTTAAAAGCATTTTAGAGAACAACAGAACAACACTTCAATTAAGTACGAATTCCAACCGTATTAAAATCGACAACAACAACATGCGTTAGCTTAATCTATTCAATATCCAATATATAAATAAAATAAATAAACATGAAAGGCAAAAACAAAATATACTTATGCATATATAAAAAACGTACAGAGGTAAAAAAAATGTTAGAAGACAAACAAGAAAAATTATATCTAATGCCCAATATTAAATCATCAAATTGTTCAAAAATCAAAGTATCGCGGATACAAAACTTTAAGAAAAAAATAAAATAAAGGAAAATCTCATACAATAATGGAATTAAAAAATGAAAAGGAACTTATTAGTGTACATTTTACAATATGAAAACGTTCCGTTATCGTAGCAACAAAAAATACAAAAATATTAACAGAAACAGCAACAAAAACAAATAATTTGCACTAGTAAAACTGATTCAAATAATACAAAACATCGACAAGTATATAAATTATGACTAAATAGGCATAAGAATTACAGGATTGAAAATGTGTGTGCAGTGTTGGAACGTAAGTATATGCCACAGCCAATATATTCCCTATTACATACATATGATAATAGTGTAACCGATTGTACAATACCGTACGGAGAGACATTAAGAAATAATAAGGATACATAATCGAAAAATTCAAATGTTAGATGCATAAATATCTTATTTTAAGTATAACACTAATAAAAAGAAACACTAAACACGATACCAGCTTTTTATTCAAATAAAACTAAAGGTAAGTTTTTTAAACTAAATTAACTCAAACTCGAATCCTGCTAAGGAGTAATAATAGGCAAAATTGTATTTAAAAGAAATGTTCGAACATTATTTGAATGGGAAAAAGTGAAACCCGTCAACAAACAAAGTTATGCATTTTGGTAAAATTTTGAAGAACCTTCATAATTTTAACGCAGTCTGAAATTTGTATTCATATGGTATTTGTTAAGTAAGCAGCTATACTTTCTTAAAAAAAAAACACCGTAAATAAACCAAAGAGATTTATTTGAACATGATACAAACTTTTTCATTTCGTCATACACCAAACAAGCATGACTCGTCCAAGCAGAGAATTTAATGGGTGGATTGCGGATGGCAACCGAACTTCAGTTGGTTGGCCAGTGGCTGAAATGGTATTACAGATGGCCACTGGCAACTGAATTTTTGTGGTTGCCGCGGAAATTTTGATTGATTATTTACATATGTATTTTTTCAACTGTACATATCGAGCCCTAACCGCCAAAATAACGTAAGCGACTTTTTTTCAAAATTTTATTTTTGATGCAGAAATATTCCCCGGGCATCTAGATGTATTTCTGCATCGAAAAGAAAATTTTGAAAAAAAAATGGCGCTTACGTTATTATGCGGTTAGGGCTCGATATTTGCACTCAAGTCTTAGCTGCTGGTTTTTCAAAATTGTATTTCCTTCAACTTTATAAAACTTGGCTATAGTTGCTATTCATAATATATGTACATTTTCATTTCAGTGGCATTGTCCATCGGGCACCCCAACTGAGGTTGCATTGTCATCTATAATCGCCCCATTAGTTTCCATCGTAGTCTGCTTTTTCGTGAAATCTACGAAAATGCGATCACTGAATCCGAACTGCTCCGAATGTGTGTATTCAAAGTATACGCTACGCTCGTGGCTATTCACATTCAGTGATATCCCTGGATATATGTACATAAGCAATTAACTTAAGCGAGCGTTGGGCTTGCGAGCTAGCTCGGGTGTTTTTTATGTATTGTTCTTCTGCCTACAATAGATGCGTTCCCTAACTCGCAAGAATTTACAGGAATTTACCAGAAAGCGTTCCCGTACTCGGTTCTCTGGCATCTTTTGCCTTTGGACAGGTTTTAACCAAGAAAAGTTGGGGAACGCAACTGATATCATCTTGGAATAGCTACGCGATCACATAGACATAAATAAAAGGTTCACACTCGCATTGCGAGTGTCGACTAGTAGTAGATAAACGATTAACAATTATTCATGGCATTTTCGATGTCGTGAGTATGAATAGCTTTTAGTCGCTCATTTTTCTACAAACTAAAAAGTTATGGAAGGCTGAACGGCTAAAAACGGTTCACAGTCGCTTATTGAACGGGAGATCAACATTCCGATACCGTGGAAAAGCGATAATCGAATAATAGTCGTTTATCAACTACTACACCTTTTCCAAGAGTACTTCAGAAAGCGTCAAATGTATTTCAGAAACTATAAAATCTACTTCAGAATAGTCAACAGTACTTCAGGAAACGTAAAATGTACTTCAGAATGGTCAATTGTACTTCAGAAACCGTAAAATGTATTTCAGAACAGTTAACTGTACTTCAGTAACCGTAAAATGAACTTCGGAAGCCGTAAAATGTACTTGAGAATAGTCAATTGTACTTCTGAACCCGTAAAATGTACTTCAGAATAGCCAATTTTGCTTCAGAAACTGTAAAATGTACTTCAGAAGACGAAAATTCGTACGCATTGTAATTACTTAAATAGTATATATTATAGTGATTTTAAATATGTTTACTTTTATATTTTCAAATTACAAGTACATTAGTTTTTTCGAAATGTCTATGTCTATATTTAAGAATGAAACAATTAATTTATTAATGCAGTTTTAAATTATGTACCAGCTACCATAGCGGGCATCTGGGTGAAAAGTGAGAATGTTGAATGGCTCTGCCACAGTCGCCACCAACAACTGTCGCTTTTACCTCGTCAATAAGTCGCTCCAAGTACGAAAGCCTTTGCTCGACAACGCCCGGACCAAATGTTGCTGAAATGCCAATATTTGTCTTAACATACGTTTTTTTTTTTTTGCCATATCAGCATAAAGCGGAAGGCTATATATTTGTTCATATTCCACATTTTACCGTGCAAGCATTTACTACATGGTGTATGCTCAAGCGACATTATTATTTGGTCCGGTCGTTGACGAAGGAAAAGCGGCAGTTGTTGGTGGCGATTATGGCAGAGCGATTCAACGGTATGCCACCTTTTATCCAGATGCACTATCTTTGTACATGTTGGTTGGAACATAATTTAAAACTGCATTAATAAATTAATTGTTTCATTCTTAAATATATAGACTATGCGAAAAAACTAATGTACTTGTAATTTGAAAATAAATTAAAAAGTGAATATATTTATAAACACTATTATACTATTTAAATAATTACATTGCGTACGAATTTTCGTCTTCTGAAGTATATTTTACGGTTTCTGAAGTGAAATTGATCATCCTGAAGTACATTTTACGGTTTCTGAAGTACATTTGACCATTCTGAAATACTTTTTACGGTTTCTGAAACACAATTGACTATTTTGAAGAACATTTTATAGTTTCTGAAATATTTTTTACGGTTTCTGAAGTACAATTGACTATCCTGAAGTACATTTGATGCTTTCTGAAGTACTCTTTGAAAAGGTGTAGTCGACACTTGCAATAGGGGTGTGAACTTCAAATGGAACTAAAACTTTACTCCTTGTTTGATGTTTGGTGGTAAACCAATTAAGCATGTAAATATTTTCAAGCATTATTAAGTCCAGCACAGTTGATTGTCGCTGGACAAATAGCCTCATAAAAGCATCCCTTCATTGGCTCATTAAACACCAATCCATTATGAATTTTTTCGTTTACATTTTCACATTTTATTTTACAAAATTTACCTTACCATTATTTACAAACATTAGTAGCGAAGTATTATTAGAAATTCATTGCGCCATCCAGGAACATTAGGCTATCCACCGAAGAGATAGCCAAGTCTACATCTCGTTTCTGCACAGTCTTTTTCTTCGACTGGGTTGTATATGAGAACGCCTCGCTCGCCAGTGACTCTATAAAAAGTTCTGTAGCTCGTGTAACTACAAAAACGGCTTCAGCAGAAGCAAGATTCATGTCTGGGTCCAATTTCATCAAGTTTTTAATCCGTGTCTGGGGCAACTGAAACAGCCGCTGTTCCGGTACATCATTCTCAGTTGTAGCAATCGGCTTTTCTGCATCACAAAATTAAAAAAAAAAAGCGTTGGCATGCAAAAAATTGCATATTCGTTACCTTCTGAAACCACTTCAACAATTTCCGCATTTTCGCCTACTTCTATTTCTACAATGGTTTCTGGCTCTTCCTCAAAAGCATCCAAGATTTCGTCTTTATCATCTTGTTTGTCAGTTAATTCTTCAGATAATTCCGCAGTAAATAATTCTTCACTAGCCATTTTTCCATATACCCGCGCAANGGCAGTCGCCAAATTCACCGAAGGTTGTTTACTGGTTATATTGTGCAAAACATTTAACAAATCAGGTTTTTTCCATACGCTTTCCAGTCTGTTTCTGTAATTAGAGCGTAAAAATAAAGCTGAAATTAGTCAAGAACGTAAACCAGCCGGTACGTAAACCCGAGTCAGCTGGCACGATCTGTCTTACCAGAGGGCCATGTAAATGAAAACTCAACACCATGATTCAATAAAGGCCCGTTTACATACAACTTTGGCGTTGCGTTGGCGTTGGCGTCGCTTCGACAGCTGACTATGAATCCAAAGTTGGGCAACGCCAACGCCAACACAACACAGAAAGATGGCCAACTCGCAAAAAGTATTGGCCCGTAGTTATAGTCAAAATAAAGTCGACTTTAAAGTTAAAAGCAGCTTTTTGACATAACTTTCAATCAAAAAAACCTGCTTTTAACTTTAGAGTCGACTTTATTTTGACTATAACTACGGGCCATTGGATCAGAGCTAATACTTCTCGTGTAAAATCCTGTAAAAATGTCAAACAGCAAAATTTTCTCCGAAGTGAGAGTACAGAGTAACCCTGCAGTAAGCCCGGGGCCAGCCAACGCTAAGCCACCATGTACGTCTACAGCGACAATTGCACTAGTGCAAATATCGACAACGGTTTCTTTTTGCAGAAGTACGAACTCGCCATAGACAATGACTGTAGCGTTTTTGTGTGTATATTGTCTACACTTTGTCAACAAGCACAACAGCTGTGCTTCGTCTTGCATTTTCTATTCCATCAGATATTTATTTAAGCGTGCACGTGCGGGCGAACAAATTTTTTACAACTTTGAGAGCAGCTTTCCAACGCCAAAAGAAAAAATTCTTCAAGCAAACAACCCGCATTAAAACCCAAAAAAATAAGGAGAACCGAAATGATGAAGAAAATGAGACTGAGAAATACGAGGAAATCGAATTTATTGAAGAAATTGATGAGACTTAATATATAAAAACTACAAATACTATTTTTTAGATTGTAAGAAAGGTTTAGCTAGCCTTGAAGAAATATGCCAAAAACCAAGTACCTTTTTTATTAAAAATAACTATCTACAAGACATTTTTATCAACAATATACATATCTGTGTTTCAATTAATTGTATTACCCAAAGGTATAAAAAAGTGTAGACAATAAACATTAAAAGGTAGTAGAGAATCTCTGGTGCCAATGTCTCCATATGGTCCCAAAGGGAGTACTTAGTCAATACCTCTGGAGAATTGCAATGACAAGCACATGTGAGATGTCTATAGCAAATAACATTGTGTGTCGCATATCTTGGAACTAGTACTGGTGACAAAGTCAATAGCGAATCGATAAAGTTTCACTGTCGACATTTACTGCAGGGAAGTAACAACCAAAAAGTACGGGAGCAAAAAATAATTTTTCCTGTAAAAACGTCAAACAGGCGATCGCTTCACACTTTTCATGTTTTTA